TCCTGTAACTCCTGGTCTTTCTACCAAATAGAATTGTTACTAGTCACTATTTTACAGACCTTTTCATTCCCTTCTGCTATCTCAACAATTCATTAGTTTCTAAATTACCCAAAAGCAGCATTTCAAGATCATTTTCTATTTATTTCATACAAGGTGCTTACTAAATATGGTACAACAGTAACAACAACAAAAATCCTACAGGAGGAAAGATCAATAAATAACTATCTGGTACAGTGACTGATTCTTTTCCTAAAGTATTTATTTTTTATATGTGTTTGCATGGATGAATACATGACATGCATGTACATGCCACAGCACACACGTGGAGGTCAGAGAACAACTTGTAGGAGTTGGTTCTCTCTCATGTGGGTTCCTGGGCTCAAACTCAAGTTGTCAGGCTTGGTTGGCAGCAAGCGTCCCTACCTGCTGAGCCATTTCACCAGACCCCAGAAACTGGTGTGTGCATGTGTTATCACTAGGATTAAAATTACATATAAGGGCATTTGTACTGGCACTTTGTTACCAAAACTATTCAGTTTCAGATTAATCTGAGTCTTGAATGTAAAGCAAAATATACCTAGAAAATTGTCAAGGACATGTCTTTCCTACATAAAATGCATTCAACCCTTTACCCCAGAAAAGACCACCTATGCTTGCTCGAGCATACAGAAAACCAGATGGCTCTGTTCAAGGAGAATTGTGGAAGCAATTATTTATGCTAATCTAAGTCAGTCAAAGATTCTGAGGATTATAGATCTGATGTTCAATTTTATAACATTTAAAGTTGCAATGATGTTAATATTTTCTCTTGAGTTTACAGGAAACAAGATCCATATAGATGAAAATGAAATCTACTGAAGGCATCACTGAAGTTTATGGTACTATACTAAGTCATAGCATTATTACAGTATTTGCTGTCATTCTACCACTAGTGAGAAGATACTTCTCTCCTATCTGCTCTATACTAGTTTCAGTATAGGAGCTCTTCTTCTGTTGCAATATACCTGTAACTTTAAAGGCATGCTTTTAAAGTAAATAGGAATTATAGAATCATAATACAATTAAGACACAGTTCAATACTATTTTCGTTACAAATAAAAGATCGCCTTTGAAAAACACAACAAGGAATTTTTTCCATGGCATTAAAAACCATGGTGTGCACTGAATTGTGTTCTCTAAAATTGATATGTTAAGTAAGTCGTAACCACCAACCTTCTGTTTATAGATGGCTTTGAGACACAATTGGGTTTAGATGTGGTTGTGACTGTGGGGACCCAGGAGATTAGCACCATGATCTTAAAAAGAAGAGCTCTCAGAGAATAGCCCTCCTTCCCTCCCCTCCCCTAATCTTCCTTCCTAATCTCCCTGACTTGGGGGAAAACTGGTTACTTTAAAGCCAAGAAGACAGCACACAACTGTGCTAGAACTCTCAGACTCATTTGCCTGCAGAACTGGGTAAAAGTACATCTCTGTTTTTCAAGTTATCCTGCTTATGGTATTTTATTGTGGCAGCCCAAAATAAGCAAAATTTTCATGAAATATGGAGGTAAAATCCTAAGCAATCTCCAAGTTTATCAGTGAAGAACTGTGAGAAGAGAACTGGCTAAGACATAAAGAAACACTCAACTACACACACACACACACACACACACACACACACACACAAAGTCATTAAGAGACTAACTGAACGATTCTCAAAGCCACTGCATAGCAGCAACCCCACCTCCATATTGACTACAAATGTACCTACATCTGTCACTAATGGTGCTGCAGTGGTGAGGAGAGACAGAAAAAAATAGTCACTGAAGGCAGCAACAAGGAGAATAACCAAATGACATGTATGAATTGTCACTGCACTGTGAAGTGTAATGCAAGATTCTTAACTATGATAAGCATTGACAGACTCTGCTTCAAAAACCAATATTAAAATGGGACATGAACAGTACAATTGCCATCTCTTTGTACTAGAGTTAAAAAGTAAAAGACAGAAAGAATGAAAACACAAAAGTAAGGGAATACTATAGCTATATAAAAGTGTAGCAGTCATTCAACCCCTTCCTACTAGTCATTATAGCATACATTTTTTTCCAAGATGAAACCTAAGAAAGAACCTAATTGTATACAGAGAAGAGAATATGAGATACCAACCCAGGAAACAGCAACGTTGTCAGCAAAAAATGAGTCTTCCACTTTCCACCCCTAAATGCTGAGGAAGTAAAAAAAAAAACAATATAGTTACTGAAATGCCTTGATTTAGACCATTTTACAAATACTGTAGTGTAGCCTGGTGGTGGTGGTGGTGGTGGTGGTGCACGTCTTTAATCCCAGCACTCAAGAGGCAGAGGCAGGTGGATCTCTGTGAGTTCGAGGCCAGCCTTGTTTGTCTACATAGTGAGTTCCAGGACAACCAGGGATACTCAGAGAAACCCTGTCTCGAAAAATTAAAATTAAATATAAAAGTACTGTAGTATAATCAGTACATTACAATTGTACTATAGTGTAATCAGTACAGAATTACAATTGTGTATGGTGGCTAAAATTCTTTGTAACATTTTCTAATCTTTTTAAGTTCTTTTAATTTCTACATTTAACCCACTAACTTCCCAGAGTAATAATAGTAGTGATGCTTACTCTTGTACATTTTGGCAGACACATATCCAGCGGGAATTTCCAGTAAGAACCATAGCACAATACCATAGTTCACTAAAGCCCTTCGATCAGCAGGGGTAAGAAAACCAAGGCCAGCCAAAACTGAAGGCAGAAAAACAAAGTGGGAGCTGCATGAGAATAGCCTCTAGATTGTTTAGGAATTTAAACATACCCATTAATACAAGGAAAGTACTTAAGTCATATTGCAAACAAGTAGCATTCACTTATCTACTTCGATGACAATTTCTTAAGTGGAAAGATTTGATTTTTCAGTTAAAGGTATTTGGATGTTTTATATTTGAATTAGTCTTTAATTTCATTACATCAAAATCATGCACTGTTTCCCCTTCCCATATTCCAACAGTCATCCCAAGAATAGCAAATTCTTTTCCTTCAAAAATGTCTTTTCTCAGCCAGAAGGTGGTGGCGCATGCCTTTAGTCCCTGAACTCTGGTGGCAGAGACAGGTGGATCTCTGTGAATGTAAGGCTAGCCTGGTGTACAGAACGATTTCTAGGACAGTCAGAACTGTCACACAGAGAAAACATGTCTCAAAAAAACAAACAAAAAATAATTTCTTTCCTCTGTATTTTGTCAAAGTGAGGAATTAAAAATTCAAGGTGAGGAAGTTTTAGGAGGAAAAAGTGCCTTCCAATTGGACTTTTAAAATTATCATTGACCTTTGAAACATCTAATAAGCCATTTTCTGTGCAGCTTTGCTTATTAAGTCATTGCTCTAGCTATCAAACAGTGACAAGCTCCATTTGGAGCTCATAAATTAAGACAACATGTGTTCATAGTTCATTGTTGGACAGACTACTAAAGATACAGTTCCAGAAATGGGCATGGTAGCACACACCTGGAATCCCAGAATTTGGCAAGTGAAGGCAAGGGGATCAGAACAGAGCCTTGGCCACATAGAGACATCTAGACCAGTCAGTGCTACATAAGACTCTGTCTCAAAAACTAAAAACAGAAGCCTGCGGATTATAGCTCAGTAGCGCACTTGCCTAAAAGACACTAAGCCCTGGGCTTGATCCCTGGAGCTTCATAAACTGGTTCTGGTAACACATGCCTATTTAGAATATCATCATTTGGGTGGAAGAGGAAAAGAATTAGAAGTTCAATTCCATCCTCAGCTACATGAAACTCTAAGTAAATGCAAGATAAAATAAATAAGAATACCATTTGATTTAAATACTAATACCATTTCATTTATACACTTAAAGATCTGTACATGTAGGCTGAGATCATAGTTCAGTCTGCAAAGTGCTTACCTTGAAAATACAAAGACCCAAGTTCATTACCAAGAACATGTGCTAAAAATTTGGACACGAGCTGTTGAGATGGCTCATAGGTTAAGAGCACTGGCTGCTCTTCCAAAGGACCCAGGTTCAATTCCCAACACATACATGGAAGCTTGCACATGTCTGTAACTGCAATTTCAGTGCTTCTGAGACCCTCACACAGACATACATGCAGGCAGAACACCAATAAACATAAAATAATTTTAAAAAAGGACAGGCAGTGGTGGTGCATGTCTTTAATCCCAGCACTTGGGAGGCAATAGTGGGTAGATCTTTATGAGTTCAAGGCCAGTCTGGTCTACAGAGCAAGTTCTAGGACAGCCAAGGCTACGCAGAGAAACTCTGTCTCAAAAAATATTGGACATTGTATTGTGGTGCACTTTTATCCCAGCTCTAGTAAGGTAGACAGATGGTTCTCTGGGGCTTATTGGCTGGCCAGCCTACTTTAGTTAGAAAGTTCCAGGCCAGTGAGAAACCCTGTCTTAAAAAAAAAGATCAAAACTTCACACTTAAGCTTGCCATGGTATTTCAAAATGTTAGCCTTTGTTTCATGTGTTCCCTCAGTCCACTGAAAATATTCTACTTGTATCAATTTTCAATAATGCTTCTACCTTATTAAGGGAAGAAATATGTGCTGAGTTCTGGCTATGCTGGAACTCACTCTACAGACTAGGCTGGCCTGAAACTCATAGAGATCCGCCTGTCCGATCTGCCTCCTGAGTGCTGGGATTAAAGGCATGTGCCACTACTCCTGGCTGTGCTGAAGCTTTTAAACAAATTATTTAGAACTGATATAGAAACATTGTCAAACTCACATCCAGAATGCAAAAAGACAGAAATATGAATACTAAAAAGCATCAATTCTCTTAAAATTGAAGCTACATTTTTCAAAATCATTTTGTACTTATGAAACAAAACCTAACATATGTCAGCAGTTCATTACAAGTGGATAAGCTATACTTTAATGTACTCACATAAAGAAAAAAATGCCATAATGAAAACTTGTGTTCCTTGGCCAAGAAAGACTGACAGCAACATTCCATATTTCGGGAGTCTGAATATACTCCCATGAATCATTCTCCATCCAAACCGCCTCCAGTTATACATCTGCATGTGAGAAACTCTTTAATAAGTATGTAAGCAAATATGACTAAACATGTAAGTAAATATGACAAGTTACATGAAATGGAATTTTCCACTCAGGACAAACTAACTGGAAAGCAATTAATATGGAATCAGCATGTTTATAGATGCTATATAAGCATGCTACACTCTCTTAAACTATGTTTTGCACTAGAGGGGTGTGTTAATTATATAAGGCACACAGTTTTCTGTATTTTCACAAAGAAAGCAAAATTATTTAACCTAAGGTACTCAACAGATTCATAGAAATTTTAAATTCATCAGTATGTAATCATTTACAAGAACCAAAACAGTAAGTATAGTAGAACATAAATTATACTGCTTTGAAACATTTGGTATTTCTATCTCATGTTTAAAGGCAATTAAAAGTTTCTTGAAATAGTATTTTTAGTCATCAGAAACACATACAAAATATAACCAAAGCTGATGGTAAACAAATCTCTAAATAAAGTTACACTGTTAAACAAACCTATACAACTCTGTACTTTCTGACTATAAAATTCAGTGGTTCTCAGGCTGTGGGTTACAACCCCTTTAAAATCAAAGGACCCTTTCACAGGGATCATTGGAAAACACAGATATTTACATTACAATTCATAAAAGTAGCAAAATTACAGTTATGAAGTAGCTATGAAAATAATACTATGGTTAGGAGTCACCACAACAGGAGGAACTGTACTAAAGGATCCCGATATTAGAAAGGTTGAGAACCACTGGTATAATATACAAAATTGCTAGACAGCAGTAAAGGGTTATAGTCAAGGCATGATTCTTTGAATACAAATTCAATAACTGACAACTAAGCAGGATGTATATCAAGTTGAATCAAAATATCCATTTTTACTTACAGGGGGTTTTATACGATTACATTTGATAATATCTCTACAGATACTCTTTAAAATGACGATAATCACCAGTCCACACAAGGTAAGTACCACAAAGAAAGAGTTTACAAGTCTAGAAAATTTCAGAAAGAAAAAAAAAAAACAGTTAGGGTTGGCAAGGTGACTCAGCAGGTAAATGTGCTGTCACCAAGACTGAGGCTGGTTTTCATCCCTGGGACCCATATAGTTGGAGAGAACTAACTCCTTCAAGATGTCCTCCGAATTCTCTCTCTCTCTCTCTCTCTCTCTCTCTCTCTCTCTTTCTCTATCTCACCCAGTCTTCTTTTTTATTCCCTCTTCTCAAAGCATAAGAAACCCAAATCTTTTTTTTCAAGGAGACTTCTGGGTATGTGTGGCTTGATCAACATAGGGTGATTTCTAAACAAAAGACTCTTCTAGAAATTTACTGTTTGGTAGAAAAAGCTAAAGAATATGAATAAAGATAAAACCATATTCATTTTTTCTCTCCCTCAGTCCCTTTCTCCTATGGCAGGGAGGATCTTGAGGCAGTATCTTGCTTTGTAGCTCATGCTGATCTCAAAATCATGAGCCAACTGCCTCAGTGCTAGGATCTCAATGTGTGCAACCACACGTGGGTAAGAGGCTAGTCTCATTTTAAAGGCAATGGGGATATAAAAAGAGTCACCTCCTTGAAAATTCCGTGTCATAGTATCACACCTTTCCGGACATTCAGTTTACTTTTACAGCTTGCTTCTGCCCTCAGTTGCTCTTTTATGGGGGTGGGGGGTAGGGGTTCGAGACAGTGTTTCTCTGTAGCTTTGGAGCCTGTCCTGGAACTCAGTCTGTAGACCAGTGTGGTGATACTTTGTTTATGATATAACAAATAAAGCTTACCCAAAGATCAGAGTGCAAAGCTTGCCACACTAGTTAGCCATAGAGGCCAGGCAGTGATGGCACACACTTTTAATCCAGCACTAGGAGACAGACATAGACTGTAATGTAAATTCAAGGCTACATGAGATTGAATCTGTCTAAAAGAGAAACAGCTCACACAAAGGTGATCCCAGAATATGGGATGACTCACTTTTAATCCCAGCACTAGGGAGGTAGAGACAGAAGTGATATAGCTGGACAGAAAAAGGACTATAAGGCAGGAGTTGTCAAGAGAGAGATGCAGTCTGAGGATTTGTAGAGATGGATGCAGTCTAGGCAGTCAGTCTGAGCATTCAGTCTGAGGATTGGTAGAGACAGGATGGCCCATTCAGTCTGAGGTAGAGATAAAAGCTAGTGGCTGCTTTGCTTCTCTGATCCTTCAGCTTCCCTCCCCACCCAAGGCTCAATCCTCAGTGTCCACCCCCGCCTAAAATCTGAGAAAAACAATCATTTATGTTTGCTCTCCTGGAGCTACTTTGTCTTTATTTTATGAAGTGCTTACCTAATCCAAAGAATGTTGACCTCAGTTGCAGACTCTATATCATGATCCCATTCGGAAGACCACTTAACAGTTTTGCTTTCCTAAAATGAAAACATAAAATCAAATGACTAAACTTTACCTGACCTTTACTCAGAAACATATACAAGCCTATTCTGCATAGCCTTTGCCCCTTTACTTCCAGCTTCGAGGAATCACTTAGTAATATTTGACCTCATTACAAAAAAAAAAAAAGAACTAGGGAGGAGGCAAAAGCAGGTGGATCTCTGTGAGTTCAATGCCAGTGTGGTATGCCTAGGTTACTTCCAGGGCAGCCAGGGCCACATAGAAAGACTGTGCCTCAAAAACAAAAAGTAAAAGGTAAAAGAAAGAACTAGAAAAAATTGTTGCTATTCAACAAAAATAGCATCTTTCTGCTATTATTTTTATGTAGCCCCAAACCCATCAGACACTCTCATTTTCCCTTTTATCCTGACATATTTCCATTTACACTGTAACGTCTTATGACATAGCTGGCTAAAGTACATAAAATTCTACACAATGAGTCACTGTACTATTTGGAAAATCAAATACTCACAACCAAAAATGGTCTTCAGGATAAGAATAGATGGTAGTGATCTGCACTAGCATTAGCAAGAGTGAAATGTTCTACTGAAAAGTGATATGTCCGAGACAGAAATGACTTTAGAAAGGAGAGAAGCACATATGACAAAAATATATTCTCAAGACCAGTAGCTGCTTGCTGCATGAGCAGGCAAAATGAGTTTGATTCCGAGAGCCCAGGTACAGGGAAAGGAGAGAAGAGACTCCACAAAGTGATCCTCTTACCTAACCCCCCACACTAACCATATTTAGTTTTTAAAATCTCATTTCCCCCACCCCCAGAAAGTCATATGCCTATATTACGGATACAAACATTGTTCTGGAAGGATAAATTAGAAAAAGTAAATGTTATGCTTTCAGAAAGAGAAATCAAGGATAAGAGAATAAAGGAAGAGAATTTTCTCACACTTTCCCTATATACACCATCTGCAAATATACAGCCATATCAATATTATTTAAGTTAAAATAAAAGACAACTTGTTTTACTACAACCCAGCAGCTTTGCTTATTACAAATTCATGGTTATCCCCAAACGAGATCCCATCTCAAAAAGAAAGAAAGAGATAAAGAAAGGAAGGAAGGAAGGAAGGGAGGGAGGGAGGGAGGGAGGGAGAGAGAAAGGAAGAAGAAAGGAAGGGAAGGGAAGGGAAGGGAAGGGAAGGGAAGGAAAGGAAAGGAAAGGAAAGGAAAGGAAAGGAAAGGAAAGGAAAGAGAAAAGAAAAAAACCCTGGGGAAAAAATTCAGCCAAGACATCAACAACAGTGTTTAAGCATCATTTTTGCACCAAACACTGCCATCTGCTGGAAATAATAGGTCATAACATTTGTTAGTCATCCCAAGGAAAAAAAAATATTTTAAAAATCTAAGGCAAATGATAACAAAATGACAAATACAAAAAGAATAACTAAGTAACAGAGAATCTATTTTTATCTGCTTAAAATTAATGAATTATTCTTGGTCTTTCCATCCCAAAGTCACAAAATCTTTTTGTAAGCTAGCAATTCTAGTAAAATAATACGTAGCCAATAAGTCTTTAATGTTAGCAACAGTGACACACAAACAAGGTGGAAATAAAGACTTCTTTATCCATAGTATAGTACCCCATGATGTGTCATAGTCAATAGAAATTACACAGAGACTCATAGTTTGTAGGGAATTTGATCAGTAGGCCAATGGTTAACAGGAAGAGCAGCACCCCCTACAGGGCATAATGAAAACATGTGGCTGCTACTGGCATTCAGAAAGCCAGGTGTCCTGCAGGGCAGGCACATGGAGAGCTACATAAAAGAGAACTGAGGAGAATTGTGCTGTGCCCCACACCTTGCAAATATCCCATCCAAAATTCATGTAGGTGAAAAACTGCTTGCGGTTGCCTACCCTTTGGTTTCAAATTTGCTTTATAACGTTTTTATAAGATTGAAAATATATATAATATTCCCACTCAAGAAGGCAGTTGTTTTATTAAATTAGGGGAAAAATGGTACTATACTTGTCTTGGCATGTTACCAAAATTGACTTATATTTCAAAAAGTCATAGCATCATTTGAAAAATAGCAGTATTTGGGCCAATAATTTGCAATATTCTTATCTGCCCACAATCACACTTACAATGACTATACACATAGATAAAATCATATAAAATGGATAGAATAAAGGGTATATTATTTTATCAGAAGTTACTACTATTTACCCTTTATGTTATCATTAGGATGTTACACTAGTATTTGTTAAAGTTACATGCATAGACAGGTTTTGTCTTCTATTAACTATTAGTCATAGGATAAAATATCAAAGAGAAAGTTACAAAACATTTGTTATTAGCTGGGCGTTGGCGGTGCACGCCTTTAATCCCAGCACTTGGGAGGCAGA